CATCTGTAAAATGGAGATCATACCTCACAGTGTTGTTGTGAGGATTAAATGACTCAACACGCATAACATGCGTGGAGGAATGGGTGACTGCATTCTTATAGGGCCGGGGTCTGCAAACATTTTCTGTACAGGGCCAAAGGGTAAATATCTTAGGCTTTGTAGGTCAAGAGGCAAACTCCAGGCTATTATGTAGGTGCTGAGATAATCATTGAAAAATACAAAAAGCCATTCTTAACTTGTGGGCCATATAAAAACACGGAACAGGGCAGATTTAGATGGCTGACCCTCTCTGTGGCCACAGCTCTTCTGGGTGGCCTCTTCTCTGGAGCTGCAGCTTTCACTGGTTCCAGTGACCCCCTCTCGCCTCCTTGCTCTTCAGGCCTAGGGATGTAACAGCTCTCTCCCTGGGTGCCTCACCATTGCTATGCAATGAAGAGTAGTCCCCACTCTCTTAACCCTTCCCTGATCTGTGTGATTTCAACCCTCCTGAGGGTGCCTTCTGTTTCCTGCCAGGACTGTGACAAATCCGGTGAGAGGGTTCAGGAAAGGGAAGCAGAGTTTACGGCACAGCATGAGGCTGAATGTTTTGCCCAAGGCTTAGTGAATGTGTATAGACATTGTGGCTAGAATGTGGCTCATCGTGGACCATGCACTGGGTTAAACAGTGTGAAGGCTGAAGTTCTGGTAGCAAGTCCGTTCTTTTTCTGGACAAACAGTGTACATTATGACTTTGGAATTCCTTTCTGTGCTTCTACTCTCAAACTTCCTTGTTCTCACCCTTCCCTCGCCCACCTGTCCAGATACACATAAGAGGACCTCTTTTGCTCTCCTTTCCTCAAAGATATGGCAAGAAGAACGTCACCTTCTTTGGATCGAGAGTACCTAAGTGATTTGTGTGGGTCACAGGAGAAAGTCTATCTGGCTTGATGCTCTGGGAGTTGTTTCATAATTACGTCCTGCGTGTCTCTTTAACAAGAGATGGTGGAATCCCTACTCCGTGCCAGGTACACTGCTGTTTATGGTGATTCAAAGATGAGTTAAGCATAATTGGTGCCTCCGGGGGGTCAAATCTGGTGGAGGGAAGACTCATAAACAGGAGCAGTTACACAAAAGAGCTGTGGTACAAGAGTGTGCTAAGTAAGCCTCGGTGTGAGCTGCCCCAGCAGCAGGAGGGGCATTCACACTTCTTCCTGTCCTAACGAGGGAGTCCTACTGACGCGTAGCAAGCCCACCAGCATCACAGGTTTTTGCCATCTGGCTTTTCTGGTGATTCTTTGACACTCAGTTATCCAACCACTGAACATTAATCCAGCAGCTCTGTTTGTGGGAACCATAGGCCCGTGTGAAAACTAACAAGGTCTCCTGGCTGAGACTCTCGACAAATCTCTGAGGCGTGATTGTGGCCGCTTTGCCACGCACCACAGTTCCTGCCCTCAGGGAGCTTCCTCTGGAAGGCTGGCTGGAACCTTGGGTGACAGCTGATTAACTGGGCTTGCTAAAACCCAGGTCACTGGGCCCAACCCCCAAAGCTGCCTATTTGGTAGATCTGGGTTGGGGCCTGAGAATGTTCATTTCTAACGAGTTCCTGGGGGATGCTGATGCTGCTGGTCCAGGCACCACACTTTGAGACCCAGCA